ATACTCACCAATGATGGCTTGGACTCTATTCTCGTCCAGCTTCCCGATGCCCTTGTCCACGTCTCCTGCGATGTTGTTGGTGCGCAGTTCCTCCTCAGAAAACAGGTGGCTGGCCATGCCCCGTGCCCTGGCGGTCGACGACGTGGTCGTCGTGCCCATGGCCTTCGCCATTTGAGTGGCGGTCACAAACACCTGTCTTGACGTGTTTCTATTATCGACACCAAAGGATGGCTGTTCAATAACGTTTCCATACAAGTAGAAGGTATGACTATGCGCAAAAGGCAGATCACGTACAATATGTAGTTCATCAGCGTGTAGGACGTTACGGTGCGTCTACAACGGACGGCGTCGATGATGGACCGTTTTGGGACAGATAACTGTCCATCGAAATGGTCATCATGTCCGCCGTCGTTATCTCCACACCCCCTATGAACGTTTTGCCGCGCTCTACCTTCTCTATCACATATGCTTCTTCTCGTCCTCCCCATTTGGCCCGGGAAAGAGGCATCCGAACGTCTTCCTGTTATTTCTTGACGTCTCTTTCACGACTTCTTTTGCGTCGTGGTAACGTGTTCTCTTGGATTGATCATGAATACAGTACCATGGTAACGGAGCAAGATGTGAAAGGGATATGACGCAGTGTACTGGCAGATCAGCCATCTGTTGCTCACCGGTCTTCCCATGGTTCCGCCTACACTACAGGTTGTGCACTTGTTGATCATCTTGCGTACCAACTTGTTTACTTGGGGTATCCAATATCTTTCTCTCGGATCATGTCCCGCTGGATTTAGATGAGCCGTTCTAGTCCCTGACTTGTATTTTTGTTGTTGTTGTTCTGTATGTTATTATTGTTGGTCTGACCTCCAGCCTGTCCTCCCGCGGGACCTCCTACAGCACCACCTCCGGCATTGTTGTTGTTGTTGTTGGCCTGACCTCCAGCCTGTCCTCCCGCGGGACCACCTCCAGCACCACCTCCGGCATTGTTGTTGTTGTTGGCCTGACCTCCAGCCTGTCCTCCCGCGGGACCTCCTCCAGCACCACCTCCGGCATTGTTGTTGTTGTACGTGATCCAGCCGGTATGGCCCTGATAACAGCATCCACTACGCCTGCCAAACTTTCTACGGTCTGTTTGATGCTGTAACCTGCAGCTGCACTTGCCAGTACACGTGTGTACCTACGGTGTCGCTCCATCGTCCCCTCGAAAGTTCTGCCACAGTTTACACATCTGTGATTTTCCTGTAACTCCTTGATTGCATCTCCTATTAACTGCTTATACCCACCTGCATAATGCACATCATGGACAGCACTACATTACAAGCATGTGCCAGACAATATCCATCCTTTGGTATTTGTATTGTGCACCTGTCTATTTCTTCCAGCCATGTGTGGTCAATCTCCTCATCTTCGTGTTCATGGTAGGACGCAATCCGGGTACCCTTGGTGGGTAACACAGCCGCCATATGCATTCTTAACACAAACCTGTCGAGAATTGTTGACAGAAGCTGGCTCTAGGGACAAGTGTGGCTCAGCCATACAGTGTTTTTGATCGCAAATATGAGAAACATGCAAAGCTGTGTCCAGGAAAACGTGGTACAGAAAGTATGCAACCCTATGCAGCGCTAGATCCCTGAATTTCGGCCCGATCTGCACACTATTTCTACCAGAACGAGTTACATCATGTCTGGCCTCTCTCCCGTGCAAGAGGAAAAATGGCGAGAAGCCTGTAGTTGCATGTTTGCTGGTGTTATACGCAAACTGCACACCCGGGAGCTGTGTGTCCCAGTCCCGCTGATGGAAGAACGGAGGATCGCATTGTGCGGTTGAAACGTTCGACAAGTCCATCCGACTGAGGGTGGTAGGGTGTAGTTCGCGTCTTGTGAATTTTAAGCAGATTTCAGAGCTTGTGAACTACATTAGAATCGAAAGTGCGCCCCTGGTCGGAATGTAGGGAGTGGGGACGGCCGTGTACACAAACCCATCCATTGTACACGCACATAGCGACGGTTTCAGCAGATGCATCAGAAAGGGGGAAGAGTTCGACCCATTTCATGAAATAGTGTGACATGACTAAAATATATTCATTACCTTGCGCGGATTTAGGAAATGGGCCTATCAGATCCATGGCTACCCGTTCGTTCGGAAATCCGACCACGGACGGATGCAAAGGCGCACGCGGTTTCCGACCACCTGTTTTATGACGTTGACACACAAGGCAGCCCAACGCATAGGCGCAGACACCAGTGGTTAAACGTGGCCAATAAAACGTGAGTTTCAGACGTTCAATCGTTTTATCAATCCCCAAGTGGTCCCTCAGAGGGTCGTCATGAACCATCCGAAGCACTACATGTACATGTTTTATTTCCTGGGGGACGAGCAGTTTATAGCAAGGGGGTAGGCCGTCGGGCTGAACCCGCTTGCGATACAATCACGTTTTTCCAGTCGCCATATAGGGCCCGACTATTAAACAATGCCTGGGAAAGCAACAGTATGTTTTCTAGGAAGGTTATAAAATATGTATACGTACGTGAAAAGTCTTCATCATAAGTTGGACAATCTATAATAAAATGTAATTCGTCTTCAACGCTTTTAAGGCATGTGGGACACAGTCTCCCATTGGCTGGAGTGTCACAGTGGCGACCCTTTTCAATTTGAACATGGCAGCTGCGTCAGTGTTCGTGATCAGTCGGATGGATCCAGTAGCTACGTCTATCACCAACAAACCCTTTACATATATATGCCTCTTGGCTGGTAATAGTCCGCGTAGTGAGCGGTACCATTCTGTAAGCCTGGCCTGCCACTTCCTGCTACAACTTTTACCGTTCCCAAACGTGTGAATGATTTTACCTGGTGGCTTCCAGTGTCAGTGAAGACAAGGGTGGAATCGCCTACTTCGTAGGGTATCACGGTATGGGCCTCCTGACACATATCGGTTGCATTTACAAACTTGTACAGGCCACCTTGATCACCGTTGAACGTGGTATACAATACCCCACCTGCATCAACACACAGACAGCACCTTTACACAGTCCCTGGGTAGTCTGCAAACTTAGTCGTAGTGCCGATCAACCCGATGCCATCTCTTGCTTAATAAAATAACCGTCTTCTGTGTACTATCTAATATAGATTTTAATATTTACAAATTACACAACAGTGATAAACGCTGTAACTTCTGTAATTTTCCTGTATAGTTTGCTCCTCCGCAGATTTTCTTTGTCCTCTAACATAGTGCTCTCAGTCATCATCTTGTGTTGTGATATTATTGTTCTCAGACTGGCAAATTTTTGTCCTCTTGGCTACTCGAGCTGATGTATATACATATGATTTTTTTTTATTTCATTATTTTATGTCTGACAGACTCTCACCCTTCCAAGACTGCGAACAAAGAATGATTAACTTTAGACACTTGAACTCACGTTTGCTTGTGAAGGTGTTCCTTGCGCGCCATTTTCCACCTCTCTCTCACCTCTTTACTACGTGTCTTCATGATGCTTTCCTTAAGCAACTTGCACACTGAGCACCGTGCAAAGTTGCCTCAGAGGGCTGAAAAAAAGAATTGTATCAATCACCAACATTGTAATGAACCTATTGTATTTCATGATTTTATATAGTACATACAATCATCTCCCTAAAACTGTACTTAATTAATAAGTTACGTTTTTACATTGATCTTCCAGTTTTACATTATTGACCTTTTGTTTGAAGAAAAATGTACTAATCAAGAAAAAAATTGGCTGACCTGAACTACCTTTGGAATTGTGATGGTGGCCAATTCCTTGGTCCAAATATTAAAGAATGTCGAGTGGCCAAGTGGGTGAAGCTTTCTTCTCTCCTGGCCTTCCTTGTACATTTCATACACATCACGTTTTGTAAGGTAATGTGAAAGGTGGGTGATGGATCTGTCGGGCATGTGGTCCCCAATTTTCTTAGCAGTGGTCTCATACCAGAACAGCCTTCTGTACAATCGTCAGCATCCAACAGTGGTAAGTGTTCAAAGGTTCTGTCCAGGCGAGGGGACCGTTGGTGGTATGTTGGTGACGTACCAATACCCCCCCCCCC